GATGTGTGTATGACATTGATTCATTTAGTCTAGACACAATGTACATGACAATATGTACATGTTTTTAAAAAGGGTTGAACCAAGGCAATGACTGACCCAACACACCCCACAAGGCATTAGTCATTGCATATTGTGCAGCAGTATTTCTCTCTTTTTCTATGTCAAATTTTGACTTAATCCCTTTTCTCACTGAGAATGTTCCAACAATTCATCATACCTCTCTCTGTTTCAGTCACCCTTTCTCCCCTTTCACTCTCACCCAGTTCCTTTGGTTTCTTAATACCACTTTCTTATCTTTTGGATGTTTCAGTTTTTCCTTTTCATCAGTTTTTCAAACTCAACCATGTGTATGTATGGGACAAAAACATTTAGTTTAATCATGTGTAACAACTTCAACCTGTTTATCTGTATCCAGCCTCTGTCCTTCGCACACCCATCTTCTCTCTCTTTAATGCGTTTTAATGGAACTACATTCTTTCACTTGACTCTAGCCAAGGCAGTTAACGAACCAGACCAACAAGAATACACAACTGATCTCTTTCACAGTTTTGCTCAGCACACACCCACCCTACACTCTCTCATTGCTCTCTCTCTCTTGCCTTGTCACTGTTTGTAATGGAGTAGAGATGGGTTAAAATGTTGTGTAAGTAAGTGTTAATGCAAGTCAAAGAATAACAGATTGTAAAAAAAAAAAAAAAATAAATCTCAAATTCTGTGTAAGATCTTTGCTGGATTTTTTTCCCTGTTTCTTAAGGGCATAAATTTCAGACACTGTTTATCTGTGGTAGATAATTTCTTTTCATAAGGAAGTGGAAGGATTGCCACTTCTCTTGTCCTATATTTGTCCAGTTTCCCCAAATGTTTTAAGGAAACACTGCACGCCATGCTGAGATACCACCTTTTGGTGTAAAAATAATATTTTTTCCCCCTTACACTGTATTATCTTTGCTACTTTTCCAGACATTCAGCTAAAGAAATGAGAACAAATAATGTGGCTAAAGATAGATTTCTGAATTGGTTCGTTGCTAAGTTGTCTGTTATGTATAGACACAACACTGGTTTATCCCTTGTGTTAAGTGCGTTTTTTATGCTTGAATGATTCATCGGTTAGTGTTGAGTGGCTTAACAAACAAAGAAACATTTATTCAAAAATGGTCAGGTACAATGACTGGAGTGAAATTGAGTGAAAAGGCAGCCAATGTTCAAATACAAAAGCTCAAAGATTGACTTTTTAAAAAGAAATTCTCCTTGTAAGCAAAGAAAGAAATGAAGGATACTTTAAGACCTTTGC